GCCCTATTTTGACCTAATGAGAGTTCAAGATATGCATTAGACATGCATGTTTGAAAAGCATCGACTTTTATAGTGTTACAGACTCTCTTGTTGATTTGGTTAAGTGACCCCATGGATTGGACGATTATTGGTGAAGCCATGTAGTGCTTTAGATTTTAAAAGTCGAGATCTATGCATCAAGAGGGTTCTATTGGATAAAGTTGGAAACTTTATCCATATAGACCCTATTTTTGGACCAGATCTGAATTGGGGACCTTTTGGAACTAGTCGAGGTGGCTAAATGACGTAAGCTACTAAAAACCCCGTAACGACGACGTGGCAAGGCCACCACGACATGATGGTGGGGCGGTTCATTACTGTTTTGTCATATCCAGAACCACGATGTGGTATAATGGTACCACGACATGACAATCATGCTGAGATGACTTTTCTTGACATTTTACCCTTTTTGGCTAAGTTTGACCTTAATGGTACTTTGGGTATTTTGGGAATTTGATGGAAATTGGTCACTTGGTGGTTGTAGGCTTTGAGTAGAGAGTTGAGATTCAGAGTCAGACCTTGTCAAATCTATGTAGCTTGTGAGGTGAGAGTTCCTCACTATACTTGTTAGGCCGAAAGCACCAAGGCTGGCCCCTTTGGGATTAATTATCCTGTTTGTTGCATGATTCAGTATTATTGTGAATTTTTGGATCTGTATCCTGATAGATAGGATAATGATATGCTTATTGATCTGTAAGATATGTCTTTTTCGGTTGGTTGATTATATGTTTATGAGTTATGTATATGTCGACATGTGTGTTGTGGTTAGGTTGAGGCAGTCCTGCTTTGTGCTGAAGGCCAACAGACCTAGGCCGACCCAGATAGACTGAAGACCTCTGAGGTAGACCAGTCAGGCTGAAGGCCCGAAGATGGTCTAGACAGGCTGAAGGCTCGGTGCGGCGGTCCAGGCATGCTGAAGTTTCTGTATGCATGTTGTTGTTGTGGTATTTATGCTTATCTGTTGTGTTGGTATTTTGGGGGAACTGACTAAGTTTTGGGCTTACAGTTTTGGATTAGGTTTCAAGTACTTCTGAGGATCGCAGGAAGGTGAATGTGTGATTGTTCACCTCCTCATGTTTTGTTTCACTCTTTGGGACTTCTTTGATGTTTAACCTATTTTGAAAACCATTTTTAAACAATGATGGTTTTGATCATATTTAAAAGTTTAAAATTTTCTTGAATTTTATGAATGTTAAATGGATACTGCCAAGCATATCTAGGTTCTGGCCTACCCCTGCGGTGTATTTCAACCGGATACTGCCAAACATATTTGGGTGCTGGCCTACCCCTTTGGTCCATTTCAACTGGATACTACCAAACATATATGGGTGGTGGCCTACCCATTTGGTTTATTTCAACCGGATACTGGGTCTACCTCACCCTTACTACTACCACATAATAATATCATAAAAGCAATCAGAGAGTTATCAAGCAAATACATGCATAAATGACAATTATCACAAAGACAATCATCACACTATAACATAAACTAGTGGGCCGGCCTTGGTGCCTTCAACCTACGGTTACTATGAAGGAATATCACCCTAAACCATTGATAACCAACTAATTTCTCGGGACATTGAACTGGATAACCTCACACCAACTAAAAATAAATACAACCTGAATTAATAATTAACCTGATAACTCAAAATCCGAGGCCCAATCCATAATCCAACTTCCTAAATGGTAAAATACCATTTTACCCTTTTCTTACTTGGCCTAAAACCAAGATCCAAACCATTAGTACAAAAAGCCCAAATCTATAAATGGAAACCCAAAGCCCAATATGGACAAACTATCTAATTGGCCCCAAAACCATCATGGGACCAATACCAAGAAGCCCATAAACTATCAATGGCCCAAAGTTAGAAGTCCAATGGCCTAAACCATTAAAATGCCAAAAATTAACTTGTTGTGGTGTACGCCCCGCGTACCAGAAGCGTACGCCCCACTTACTCACCCTCAAAGCATAAAGTACAAGCATTAGATGCATAATTCAACATTACGTTAAGCGTAGTTCCACGTACGCCCAATGTACTCAATAGGGACCCAAAAATCAATAGTAAGCTCTTAAAGAAATTGACTTCCAATCTCAGATATGAACCTAATGAGATGTCTTAACACGTAAAGTTTGCAACTTTACTCCCTTTTCATTGCTTAATGGGACCAAAACCTTAATAAAAACCATAATAAGCACCCAAACTCATGCATGGTGGAACACAACTCATCAAGATGACATTTTTATGAACAAGGGACCTCCCAAATCCTAAGATCTAGCATACTAATCTCTTGGGGTAGCCTACACTCATAAGGATGACTCTAAGGAACAAAATGAACCCAAAATACTCCTTAAACTAGATCTAAAACCTAGATTCATAATGTTATAAACGTTATACCTTCAAAAGGTAGATCAACATGCACAAAGGTTGGATCCAAAAGCTCCAAGCAATCCCACACTTCTCTAAGAAGCCCCTTCTTCTTCAAAGATCACCAAAATGCACGAAATAACACCAAAAGCTCATCAATGAGATGTCTTAACAAAAATCAATAGTAACCTCTTAAAGAAATTGACTTCCAATCTCATATATGAACCTAATGAGATGTCTTAACACGTAAAGTTGGCAACTTTACTCCCTTTTCATGGCTTAATGGGACCAAAACCTTAATAAAAACCATAATAAGCACCCAAACTCATGCATGGTGGAACACAACTCATCAAGATGACATTTTTATGAACAAGGGACCTCCCAAATCCTAAGATCCAGGATACTAATCTCTTAGGGTAGCCTACACTCATAAGGATGACTCTAAGGAACAAAATGAACCCAAAATACTCCTTAAACTATATCTAAAACCTAGAGTCATCAAGTTATAAACCTTATACCTTCAAAAGGTAGATCAAGATGCACAAAGGTTGGATCCAAAAGCTCCAAGCAGTCCCACACTTCTCTAAGAAGCCCCTTCTTCTTCAAAGATCACCAAAATGCATGAAATAACACCAAAAGCTCATAAACCACACCAATGGAGGCTAGGGTTTCGATTCTAGGGTTTCAAGGGATGGAGACTGAAGATAATAAGGTTTGGTGTTGAGCTAAGGAGCTTAAATATGGTCCAAGACCTTAAATACGGGTTTGGGTCTGACTGGAGAATCACATGCATAACTATGGTACACCCAATGTACTATAAGGAGAAATAGTGACACTCTTGCATAGTACGCCCATCGTACTCCCCAAGTACGCCATGCATACTACGCTGGCCCTTAATCCTTCAAACTTCTGAATGTCATATCTTCTTCATTTTAAATCCGATTTCGACGATCCTTATATCCACGAAAAGGTGACAAGAAGCTCTACAATTCTATCAATTCATCCTTGCCTTAGGACTTCCCAAACTAAAATCCAAAATCCAAAAAAATCCTAGATTGACACTTTACCGATATACCCCTTGGCTCTAAAACACAAACCGAACTCTCAGATCATCTAAAATACAGTACCCACATGCACCCAAATGAATCTAAACCTCTCTTTCCCAAAGGTCCTAAGCTTTATGATAACTGATATTCGGGTCACAACCCCGAATTAGGAAATAATTCAGAACATGGTGTTACACTAATACTAGGTACGAGGTTTGGGAACTTAGGACAATTTAGGAGAATGTTACGTAATTATGTTATTCATAGTAAATATCTACTATGTTCTATGAAGAATGGAAACATGCTTCTTTTCAATTGTTATAAATGGGATTTGACCTTTAGATTATGGGTATCATGGATGACTGAAGACCATACATTTTAGATTAATTACATAAATCATGATTATAATTGTGGCAAACACTATAAGCTAGTTTTTGTCGTCAACTACAAATATATTGATGGACATTATACTAAAAAGATCTAACATAAAAAAATTGACTATCACATAACTTATACTAGTTGTCATTAATTTTTTTGGAATTGTTGTTAGTTTAGGGAAATATAGGAGGGAAAGAAACATGCCTTGTCCATTATTTATGGTAATATAATTGAACATTATGCTAAGTTGTGGTACTATGGGGAGGAGCTAAGAAGGTAAAATCCTGGTTCAGATGTGATAATAAGTGTAATACCAATTCTAAATGGGAAACTTACTTCAATAAGTAATAAATGGTGGCTTGAAGGCTGTAGGAGTGTTATTAGGCTTGATAGGTGTTTCTTGAAGGGTATATGTTATGGTGAATTGTCATGTGCTATGGGGAAGAATGCAAATGACCAAATTTACAAATACTTTAGGCAGTTATTTGTATTGAAAATAAGGAGAATTGGAAATGGTTTATTGACTTACTAATTAATGGACTTAACCTGGATGTGGGACAAGGATTGAATTTGAGTCAGATCAACATAAGTTATGCTTTTAATAGTCTTTGTCCTTTAATATATGTGGTTACTTACCTAATCTAATGCATACTACATGGACTTCTAGAAGTTGTGAATGAACTTCTACCCCAAGTTGTGCATAGGTAATGGAATACACCCATCGCCTAAAGTTTCAAGAAAAGATTTTTCAAGGTTCATTTTGACAATATTTTCTAGATAGCTAACAATTCAACAACAAAATAGAGGTTCAAGGTTGTTATGGAGGAACTGAGACATTATGTTTACTAGCAAGTATGTATTTTATGGATAAGGACCCCAACGCATAGTTAAGAGCCATTACAAAATAAATGACATTTAATGACATACATTTTTAATGACACATATTTTTTATGCCACTATAATATGTTTTAGTGGAATATTTTATGTGCTATTGTAAAATTAATAGATCTAATGACGCTTAATTAAAGATTTATGCCACTAATATTTATAAGAAGTGCCCTAAAGGTATTAAATGTTTGTTTTCCTAAAAGAAGTCTTCGTGTTTGATTCTGGCATCTCACAATAGTTCCATCTATCGATTAAGTCAACGGATGCTTCATGTAGCTAACCAATGATCGAGACAAACACAAGAACCCGATTTGATCGCCTGTTTAAGAGTTCAAAGGCGGTTACTACAAGGTTAATCAATGGTGATATTTTATCTTCATCTTCTCTTGTTGTCCTCCCTCATATGTGTCTTGCTTTATCATCAGTGATTGATGCCCAACACAACCCTTTGGCACTAATGAATGGCGAGAATCGGCATTGCTTGCGTCCCTCGGGCCCAAACTATCGCATCCAGTACTCGTAAACCCTAGAAGTGGTCAAAATCGCATTTAGGCCGAATATTGTTCTGAATTTCATCTATATTTTAGTTTCAGTTCATTTCTTATTGCATTTTCATCCTCTATCAGTGTTAAGAATTTCTATTATTTCCTACTTGATATTTGATAAGTCGAACACCAAGTGTTCGATCAAATTCCTTAGTGAGAAAGAACAATGTATATACGCCCTTTATTCGTCACTGTTACAATTGTTGTAATTTTCTTTTTTCTTTTCTTTTTTTTTTTAATTTTGAAGGTGAAGTAGGAAGAGAAGGATTTATCATAGGAAGTTTGAGCAACCAGTACATGCTTCCAACATGTTGCTCGCCATAGATCGTGAGGTATACATTTTTTTTAATTTTTATTACATAGGATAGGAATTGTGTTTATTTTTTTTTTGTGAACAATGATGTTTCCTCCTTAGTTTGCTATTGTTGGCTGCTTTTACTTAATCGTTGTTGGCATAATCACTTAGCTACTGATACTCTTAGAGCTAAAAGAACATTCTAATATGATAAAGACTTGTTTTCTTTTTTATTAGACTTTAATGAAAAGCAGATGATGTATTATCTGAAAGGCTTTCTTATACAATGCCTTCTTTATTTGGGAATTTGTTCTTGTATATTTAAATTATTTGTCTAATGGTCATGACATGGAAAACAATCTAAGGTATGAAATGAGTTGTTATCTTTATTGAATGAAGGTAATTGCAATTATGATAATTAAAAGATGGGAGAATATCTTATCAAACCAAAGAAATGATCCATGTGCAAGTGGAATTGCATCAAGTAAAAAAGTTTTTGC